GGAGGGAGGCTGGTATGCTTTGGATGCTTTTGCTTTTGCCTGGACACTTGGGAATTAGGGAGGGGGAATTTCTTTAGAAGGCCAGATCTTGAAGATGAAACTCAAATACTTTGGCCACTTAATGAGAAGGAAGGACTCACTGGAGAAGAGCCTAATGCTGGGAAAGATTGAGGGCAAAAGAAGAAGGGGATGGCAGAGAATGAGGTGGCTGGATGGAGTCACTGAAGCAGTAGGCATGAGTTTAAAATGGACTCCACAGGATGGTAGAGGACAGGAAGGCCTGGAGGAACATTGTCCATGGGGTCACGATGGGTTGGACACCGTTGCAACTAACAACAACAACAAAAAAAAATATCTTTGGAGATAGGAGAGACTCCCTCCCAGGCAGTTCCAAGGCTGTTGTGTCCTGAGAGTGACCTGTTATATCTGCCTCGCACCTCAGCATTTTCAAAACATCTTCTCGGCATTACATTGGCTGATGGTGGACTAGTCAAGGGGATTGCGTTTGGGGAAATGAAAGAATTGCTTTATGCTTTGCACTGGATCTTCAGATTCTGCCTGACTTTACTGCAACCACTTTCTCTCAGTAAAAGTTCTTTTGATTCAATTCAATGGATTCAAGAGTCTTACTTTCCTGAGAAACTAGCTGGGGCAGGTACTTACAGCAACACATCCCAGAGTGGCCATATGGCTATGTAATATACTGTTGGAAGAAATGTCTATGTGGGCTCAGTTCCAAGTGGGGAGAAAGACACTGGCAACATGGAGACTGCTTGAAAAGATGATTTAGTGGTGGACAGGACATGGTTTTGAGGTCCTGGGCAAAAAAGCACATGGGTGAGAGAGAGAGATCTATACCCTCTGTTGGGCTTTGAATTTGAGCTTGTTTTCTGATTGGTTGTCAAACTCCCATGGAGCCATGCAGGGGTAACTTTGTAGGTTGTCTTTTGAGTTCCAGGCTTAGTTGAGCCTTGCTGGGTGATGCAATCTCCCCAGGTGCTATGTGGTGAGTTCTATTGCTAGATGGGTAGAGGGCTAATCCTATCTTTGTTGGATCTTGGGGGAGGGATTTGCTTATGAATAGACCTAGCTATTCTTTATCTATTTAGTGCTGACATCTGCTGTGGGCTATTGAGGGTGTGGGGGCTATTAAGAGTGAGTCTGCTTCCTGCCTAAAAACATATTTCTCCATTTCTCATCCAGGGAGGTCTGCCTTTTTAATATTTCCTAGAATATTTCATTTTTCTAGGAGGGGGGTGGGTGCTAACTTCCTACAATACCTTTGTATCTAAAATATATTTTACTTGTGCCTACGTTAATATGGGCAGATGTTTGATTAAATTGGGAATAAATAGCAATGCAGACAAGAAACCTTTGGGAGAAATAGAACTTACAGGTAAAATATCAGTAGGAGATTTAGGTTAGCTCACATGGCAAAATAAAAATAAAAATCAGAAATCTGATAGCATCTTTTCCAACTAACTAGTTTTATGAAAAAGCATAGGCTTTCATGAGCTGTAGCTTTATGTCATCAGATCCACAAAAAGGCTAGACTGATTTCGGATTTAAACTGGGATGAGGTGAAATCTGATTATGCATATTACACATGACACAAATTAGAGAATTTGTATACTCGGAGCAGGAGAGAATGGAAAGCATTATGAGTATCCAACATATAGGAGAGGATGGGCAAACTTTGGGAATGTAAGGCCCAGTTTTCTTTGTAAATCTGATGCCATAACAGGTACTTCTGGAAGATACCTAACCATGGGAATCACCAGGATTGTTCTGCTTACTTTTCCTTACAAGAGAGTTTGAAGAAACATTTTAGAAGTTGGTGCAGTGGTGATATTCAGCTGGTTCTATCCGGTTCAGGTGAACCAGTAGTGACGGCTGCGGGAGGCTCTGCCCACCCATCATCACGTCCCATTTTTGATGCTCTGCGTGCACGCTCACATTTGCAAACCGGTAATGAAGGTAAGTGAATACCACCCCGAGTTGGTACCTTCACTTGCAAGGAGTACAACTCTGACTATCCCAATCAGCAAGGCTACTGGGAATTCTAAACAATAAACAAGAATTTGTGCTAGGGGCAGATGAGAATATGAAAGAAAGCCAATAGATAATTATATCACATTGTCTAACTGAAGTGAATACATTGGCCATTCATTAGAAAAGGCCAATATGTGCTTGGAATGGTCAACTGTAAAAGGAAATGAGACTTTCAAAAACATAATGGCTAGACACCATCAAAGCTGACAGCACCCAGAGCATCAAACAACTGAAAGAAACCATACAAGATTAGGAAATGTGGAAAGAGCTGGTCCACAGAATCCCTGAGAATAGGACATTGGATTGAACAGAAGCATCATCATCACCTGGATACAGAACTGACTGTGGTAGCAACTTGAAAGAAAAAGAAAAATAGACATGCAATGTCTAAATTGAGGTGCAGAGAGTCTTTTATGCATATTTTCCTATATCAAACTAAGGGACAGAACTTGCTTTAATAGAACCTTGTCATTCTGATTTAATTCACTGTCCAAATCTCCATTTGATCTCAAATATTTCCCTCCTTCCCTTACCAAACTTAACTTTCCAAGCTCTCTGCCTAGGAAGGTTGAGTCACCACAAAAATCCCCCCCCCCTTTAAAGAAGATAAACTGTCAAGGCCTTTCCTGGTTCTATTTCCTGACTCATAGTTAGTGCATATAACAAACAAAAGAAAAAGCACTGCCTTATTTAGCTATATAACAGTGTGTTTTGAACGTTAAACTGGCTAGCTACACAGTCTAATAAAAACTAAAGATATGATCCTGCATCATGTACAAACAATGTTAGAAAAGTATTTGATGGGTGTGTGTTTATATAATGCCTTTGAAATAAATGCAACAAGTTTATAACATCTGATGACACTACCAGACTTTAAAACAAACAGGTTCCAGATCTCCTTTCTATTAACATTAACTCTTTTTTCTAGCAAATATTCCACTGCTTCTATTGCACTTCTAGTACCAATAGATTGAATGGCTATACACAATTTTGTAAGCATGCCTACATCCCTATCTATTATTGTGTATCATGAAATTTTCAAGGTTCTTAAAAGAAGGGAAATGCAGTCAGTTCTCTCCCCTGAGAGAACATAAAATAAAAAATATATAATGCCACACAATTGAATTGATTTAATGCTTTTTTCTTTTTTCTTTTCTTTCCTTTTTTTTTTTTTTTGCATTTTTAAAACCACCATTCCTCCTAAGAGTTCCAGTTGGTTGAACTAGATAATTAGATAACATATAACTAGATAACCCTCCTCATTTTATCCTTATTGTTCAATACTGGGAAAGAATGGAGGCGAAGCCGCTCTATTCCAACAGTAATCTTTATTCAAAGCATGGTTAAGACAGAACCAAGAAACTGGCTGGCAGCACTCCTTTTATAGAGGGCTGTCAGCCATTAGCCAATCAGTTTAAACTATTTTCCCACGCTGATTGCGGACAGAAGGGAAAACTCTCTCCTACGTATTTGCATATGTAACACTTATAATTGAACAATTCTGCAAGGCTGAGTTGCAAATGGCTTGATTTACACATTACCCTAAACTATCATCTTCACCATGGTCTATTGTAACTTCTGTGCTTCTTGGCATTGAGGGAAGTCACCCCCTCCCAGAAGAATAAAATAGTTTGAGATATATTAAAAAGGCAGAATATTATATTTCCCTAAAGGAGAAACATGTTTCTAAAGACAAGAAACTCAGAGCCTCAGCGCTCTGCCCTAAGTAGAAACTTTTGATCAACTTTTAGAAACGCAGATTCAAGACAGGATATTCTGAACAAAGGTAGGATTAGCCCTCAGCCACAACAGGAATTGCCCAACAAACCCCTTCATTGCTTCAGTACAAAGTTAGCTATGACCCCTACAACAGCCAATAAAATACATATTCTTGCACAGGAACAGGAAACTCAAGGGCAAGGCTCAAGAGAAGGTATAGATAACCACTTATTCTCAACTGTATATGGTCAGCTGCCCAGGACCTCAATAAACCATCTTTCCATTCAGCCTCCATGTTTCAAGTGTCTTTCTCCCCACTTGGAACTGAACCAGATGGATATTTCTTCCAACAGCATTACACATTACATTAGCCCATAAGCCAGACTTTACAACTACAACATCATTATGGTTGAACATATATAGAAATCCTGTAACCACTGGGCTTACTGAATGATTGATCTGGTTTTTTAAGCTGCTTTGCATGATGGACTTTAACAGCGCAATATTAAATTCCTTGTTATTTCAGTGGTCAGTTTGGGCACGAGATATAGTGATTTTAGAGTTCACAATCCTGTTTTCTCTGATTTCTGAGGGAGCTGATTTCTGAGGGGTGAAAAAAAAATTTTTTTGGCTTTCTAGGCTGAGGTAGAAAACACAAACAGAAAATGAGGGTTTCCACTTCAATTGTTAATCAGCCCACCGTGGCAAAGCTCAATTCAAAAAAATTCAAAGTGCCCAGGGAAGGAAAAATTCTGTCCATCTGTTGTCCAAGACCAAGTCATAAATTTAAAATACAATAGACATTCTTACATATATGAGGAAGAAAGAAACCCTATAAGCAATTCATTGGATTTCTGTAAGGTAAAATTTTGCTATTGCCTTGGAAATTCCTCAGTCTCCTCTTCATGAGTAGAGTCTATCTGGCTCAAGTGGTAGTTGTATGGGTTTTGATCGCCAATGAGAGTATAGTGGGCATTTTAGAAGAATGTGTGAAACAGACACAATTTCCATATTATGTATGCAAATACATACCCAATCTTTATAGGGAAGTCTGGCATATTGACCAGCTGTCACTTAATAGGAAGAGCATCTATAGAGATTAGGCAGAAGACGCTTCTATGTGAGGCACACAGAATCCTCTGAATGAAATTGAGGAGGGTCCAAGGGGAGAGAACAATTCGTTTGTAATTGAGATGAGGAAAGTCCGACCAGTCAAGCGGACGCAGCAAGAGACTTCAGCGGCATTGGATAGGAAGGGTGGCTTTCTTTTTCATCTCCTCCTCCTTCATTGTTCGCGCAGCGGAACCAGGGCGTTGTTCCTTCGGTCCCGCCCTTCACTTCTCCTTCTCATCGAGCTAGATGCGAAACGGGAACAAGCTGTGGGTTTTGTGGGGAGAGTTATGGGCAAGGTGCGTGCTTGTGCATACACAGGACCCATTGAATTTTTTTTTTCAAGGGCGGTGTCATCAGAAGAAAATTGTATCTTTGTGACTGAGCAAATAAGCCGATCACCTCCTCCAGGTTTTTATGACCCAAACCCTAATTACAGAGAAGAATAAAGGACCTTCGTTCTTGGCTCAAAGTTGCGCTTTCTCCGTCGCTTTCTAAGGAGCCTTAAGCAGAGTTCCCTCCCTTCCGGAGCACAGACGCTCAGAGGCTGGCTTTTGCGCTTTTGATTTCGCGACCTGAGCATATGCAATTAAAAATAGATCTGTTTTTTTCGGGGGAGGAGCGGAAGGAAAACTTGTTGAAGCGCTACAACAGATTTACTACACCCATCCTCCAGATTCAATTTGTTTCAAGCCAAAGCCCTTTACCCGCCGAATCTGGCTTGCAAAGAGCTTCGCGAAAGGGCGCCTCTGAGGACCTCTCACAAGTGACGAGCCCAGGAATCTGAGGAGAGGGAATTAAAGGGCTTAAAACCCATTACAAGGAAATATTTCACACTTCAAAGTATTTCCAAGCTGTCATTGCTGACTGCCCAAAACACTGGGTGCAAAGGGATCGGCTGGCGCATGCTTGCCTAAGCAAGCCCAGAGGCCATGTCGGCAGTCGCAGTATAAAATATCTTGGCAACGTTTTTTCCTGCCCTGTTCTTAAAACTCCACCTCATCTCAACCTATGAGTAAGACGGGCTTGAGTCATGCTAAATTGTTTTGAGGTTTGATATTCTAAATTGTTAAAAGTAGCGTTTCCTTGCTAAATGTTTGGTGTATTTTAAAGATATTTACCCATATAGTGTGGCTGTATTACTATAATCCTCATTTTTCCTACCACCTTCTATTGGTATCTTATGAGTTATCACTTGTTTGCATCTTATGAATTATGATGGTAACTATGATTTATGATCAATGACTTACCACTTGGTTGTTTGTATGTACACTGAGAGCTTATGCATCGGAGACAAATTCCTTGTTTGTCCAATCGCACTTGACCAATAAAGAATATTTTATTATAAAGCTAGCGAGAGCCCCAAATCACTTTGCTAGTCATTACGACCGAGGTCAAATCAGGTGGTTAGCAGCGGGAAGGGAGAGATATTTATTGGTTGTTTCAGAATGAGGTGAAGCTGTCTCTTCCATTTAGCCATTCTATTGTCTCCCTAGGGAGCTGCAAACGTAAGTAATGCCACTGCCTAACTGCTGGCGTGCTTAGTTGGGAGTACAGAAGAGCTTTATAACGTTGTATAGATTTTGCCGCGTGGTGCGTAGTTTAAATAGCAAACCAATGGAACGATGTGCCAACTCCCTGTCCCTGGCCTGCAGAACAAAGGCATCTGGAAATCAGCATGTATTGACAACCTCAAAAAAAGAAAAGAAAGAGGAGAGAGACCTTAAGGAAAAGTGCTGCCTGTGACTCAGCTCCTTTTGTGACTCAGATTAAAAAAAAAAACAGCTTGGGTTATGACAAAATGGGGAGTAGAAGGTTGAAGACAGGAAACAGCCTATAGATCACAATCCTGCAGTAAGTCCCAACCTGCTGCTACTGTACTGTAATTGGTGGATGTTTTGCTTACGGACTGATCACGTGCAAAAGGGGGGGAGAACAAAGCCTGTCATTTTTTTTTCTTTTTTTGCAGTTTAATTCGATAATAGGGAAAGACCCCGATATAGCGTGGCGCCTACTGCCATCTGTTGAGCATGGTGTAGAATGGCGTTGACAAAGGCTATTGATGTTTTAAAAAGTCATCTGGGCTTCATTATGCTGAGATTGAAGATAAATACAGAATACTTAGAGTCGAAGTTGGCAGAAAAAATCGTGTGAAAGAGCGTCTTGAACTCATCTTTATTACAGAGAGGACATTTCCTTTGTGAATGACTGCAAGGATTATTATGCCTCTACGGACCTGCCGAAGAAATATTTTGCAATTCAGCCCGAGGAAGCACGCCAGGCAAGTCAGTCTGGATTTCTTAATAAAGATTGTATTTTGGCACACACTTAAAAGGAAGTCAAGACTGGTATTTATAAAGGAAAAAAGCAAGCTGAGTCAATGTACAGAACACTCATGTTCTCAGAATATTTCTCAGCACCAAGTACAGCATGAATTGTGCAGAAATCTCTCAGAGGAAAAACACAATCAAGAACCACATTATTGATTATAATGGATTCTGCAATTGTCTTCCAGTCTGCAGAGGAAAAACACATTTTCTGCAAGACTCCCTGGAGATGAGACCTAGTAAGTGGAAATATAGGTTACAGGCTTGAAAATGGATTAAAGTTTATGGAGAATATTATTGAAATTAGAGGGATGAAGCCCCAAATAAGTTTGGGTACCAAATAATACTGTAATTAACAATAGCAAAACAATGAAGACTGCATATGCAAAATTTAATCAGAAGAGAATTCAGTAAAGACTGTTCTTTAGTCAGCTTGGTCCACTAAAAATGAACTATGAGTTAAATTGTATTATTTAGAGCAGATTCTTGAATTTGTGTTATGAAGGTGACAATCCAATTTGACATTTTATGAAGGTTTTTTTGTTTCGGTATGAAAATTATGTGTTATTACTGGTGTTAAGTCTTTTTTTTTTTAAAGCTTTTATCGACATTTTAAATTATCTTTTAAAAACACATTGGCACATCTTGATTATTACTACTTTGGAGTTCTAAAATAATTTATTAAGCATATTTATATATAACTCATATTGACTCCAGGAGGCACACAACATTATTATGACCACAATTGAGCCCAACATTTTTGTTGCTAAGCAAGATAATTGTTGAATTGTGCCTCATTTTATGACCTTTTTGCCTTTTTGTTAACTGTTGTTAACAAATCACTGCAATTGTTAAGTGAATCTGTTTACCCCATTGACTTTAATTGTTGGAAGCCAACTGGGAAGGTTACAAATGATGATCACATGACTCCGGGACAATGCAACAATCATAAATACATGCTAATTAATAAGCACTGGAATTTTGATCAAGGGACTATGGGGATGCTGCAACAATTGTAAGTGAAAAACAATGATATGTCACTTTTTGAGTGCTGTTGTAACTTTAGATGGTTGTAAGTCAAAGACTACCTGTATTTGAACAGGCTGATGTATAATATAGGTAACACCTTTAGGCAATTATCTTCCCCCAACATGTTTACTTTCTATGCAGAAGGTATATTTCAGTGATATGAAATCCTAGATGTTAAGTTCTTAAAATATAAGATTCATTTAAAGAGGTTCAGTCAATTTCAAATTGCACAAGTGCTGAAAATATTGCTTTCCCTCTTAAAACTGTTGAAGTTTGGAGTGCTTTGTCCTTAAATCTGTATACTTTACTTAAAAACTGAGTTTTACCCTATTTGGTAAATTCTTCCTACTCATTCTGAATAATTGTGCTGAAAGATCTCCATTGCTTGGTTGCCGTTGAAATCCAAGCTTGATGAATAATAAATTGCCATTGAGGTAATATTAAAATTATTCTCAGGACAGTATGTGTTATTACTCTCCTATCAATTCAGTGGGACGTATTCCAAGTAAATTTACCAAGCTGGAGAAACAAATGTATTAAATATACAGTATGTATAACACAATGTTGCCAACATGATAGTAACCCTGGACAAAGCAGCCATGACATTATTGTACACAATAATGACAATAGAAGCAAAATTATGTTCCACCATTGGGTGTCACTCTTCCTTTATATAAAAAATTGTATTTGTCTTGGTGGAAAACAATGGACAACTCTGAAAATCTTCCATTTCAAACTAGCACAGGAAAAATAAATTGGTTTTGGGAACACCTGATGTCACAGGTGTATAAAAAACTTTCTAGGTAAAACAGTATTTGTGTTTCTTTGTTTTATCTTCCTTTTTTCATTGAAACAGAATGGAACTTTTGCATTTTTTTTTCAAAATTAGGTTGTATTCTCCTTATCTCTTAGTGGAAAGAAACCTCTAAAGCAATACTGCAGGGAAAATTATTCTTGTAAAAGTGAGAGCTGGGGATGTAAATACCTTATAATTCTGCTTTGTTTACTGATAAGACTAGTAGAACATTTTGGAGATAATTACCGTGTTTCCCAGAAAATATGACCTACCCCGAAAACAAGCCCTAGCCCAATTTTCACACCTGTGCCTAAAATAAACCCTACCCAAAAAATAAGGCCTAGTTAAGCCCCGCCCACCACCTGGTTGTATGAAGTGGGGCAAGGCGCAGCCATAAAAATCAAGCTAGGGCGGGGGTAGGGAGGTAGAGGCCAAAACAAGGCAGGAGGGTACGGAGCTGCCCCACACACTCCGCACCAGCTTACCCAAGGGCCCTGCAGCCTGGCCATTAATGTCCTGACAACTCTCTGGCCTTGTGGTGGCAGCTCCAGAAGCCCCATCCAGGACCCCACATGGCCGCTGGCCCACTTCTCCTAGCTCGCCACCGTAATGGAGCAGGAGGCTGAGCGACACACATGGAGTCCTGGATGGGGCAGCTGGAGCTGCTGCTGGAGCTGCTGTAAGACAAGGCAGTTGTCAGATTGTTGATGACCTGGCTGCAGGGCACTCAGGTAAACCGGTGCAGGGGCTGTGAGGTTTGGCATGGGTGGCCTGGCTCCACACCCCCTGCTTTGCTTTGTCTTCCACCCCTCCACCGCCTCACTATGTGGCTGCCACATCAGTGCATTGCTCAGCCTCCTGCTCTGTTAGGGTGGTGAGCAAGGAGAAGATGTGGCAAAGAATGAAGAATAAAGCAAGATGGTGGGGGGGGGGGTTGGAGGACAAAGTAAGAGTGGGTGTGGAGCCAGGCCTCTTCATGAGATCTTTTTCTTTTTTTGTGAGAAGTTGGAAAGTCTGAACTATTTCTTTTACCGTAGTCCCACAGACTACTTTTCTTGCCCTGCACGTGGCGACAGAGAATGGAACTGGAAAGCAGGTTAGTGAAGGAATGTGGCTGCCCTGGGATGGTGAGGGTTTGGCATGGGTGGCCTGGCTAGAGGACCCTCAGATAAGCTGGTGCAGGGAGCATGGGGCAGCTCCACACCTCTGCCTTGCTTTGTCCACCCCCACCCCCACCCCCTGACTTCGTTCTTCTTTGTTCTTTGCCACTACTTCTCCTTGTTCGCCACCGTAATGGAGCAGGAGGCTGAACAATGCACCGGTACAGCAGTCAGAAAGCGAGGCAGTGGAGAGTGAAGCAAGAAGGGTGCGGAGCTGCCACCCACACCTGAGTGCCCTGCAGCCAGGCCATCAACATCCTGACAACTGCCCATCTTATGGCTGCTGCAGCAGCCCCATCCAGGAACCCATGTGTCACTCAGCCTCCTGCTCTGTCACGGCGAGCAAGGAGAAGTGGTGAAGAACAAAGATGAAGCAAGGCGATGGGGGCTGGAGAAAGAACCAGTGCAGGCCACTGTGGAGAGCATGGCTGGTCCTGCTGCCATGAGGTGGGGGTAAGAGAGCAAGAGAATGATCCGATCAAACGTGTGTGTGTGTGAGAGAGAGAGAGAGAGAGAGAGAGAGAGAGAGAAAATACATACTGCCGCCAGCCCTGGTATAACTTTGAGGTTGGATCGGATCACTCTCTCACACACACACTCATACACACACACACACAAAAACAGAGAGGTTGGATTGGATTGGTCTCTTACTCGCTCTCTCACTATGGTAGCAGTCGCAGTGCTTCAGTTCCTCGCTGGTAGTTGAGAGAGAAGTGATGGGGCGCTACTCACTCAACCGCTTTTCCTCTTCTTCCTGCTCTTCTTCCTTCAGACAAAAATTGCACTTTTCACCTGTCCATTGCAGCGCAGACCCCGGGATTTACTTTGACAGAGGCAGAGCTTGAGGGATGGTCAATTCACGGTGGTGGTACAGAGAAGGCGGAAGGCAATCCCACACACACACCCACCCAAGCAGACCAGCCTTGTGGGGGTGGGGTCAGAAACCGAGCAGCACCAAAAGCAGCTGAAAGTGTGCAAGCCCTTCAGCTGCTTTCGCCGATGCTCGGTTTCCCACCCCACCCCCGCCAAGCTGGTCTGGCCTGGTGGGAGGTGTTATTTTCCACCTTCTCCACCACGCTACAAATGGGGATTGATCATCCCCTAAGCCCCACCGCAGTAGTGTTCTCACCACTCATGCTCTCCACAGCAGCCTGCAGCTGAATCGAGGTGGGCAGGCCAATGCCCTTTGGGGACCTGCGTCCCTCTACCTCCTGCTACAGTTGGGCTCTGTGCAATTCCTGCCTCCTGTGCACATGGGGGTGGGCCAGGCCGGGCCTTGTGATAGAAAAAAAAAACAAGACCACACCGAAAATAAGCCCAAGTGCTTATTTTGGGGCTCAAAAGAAAATAAGACCAGGCCTTATTTTTGGGTAAACACGGTATGTACCTTCAGCAGACACCATAGGTATTAGTCCTAGAAAGGGGCCCAGAGAGAACCATTGAATTCTAAACATATTATAGCTTCATCCATATGACTACTCTTCTCCTTTTTCGTGCCTTTTGCTGGAGAAAGTTCGAATGTTCCAAAATTTGATGGATATTTTCTTAGAAACTGAGTAGAAAGTCCCAGTGGTCAGGATCTGGGAAGTTCACTTCTGCCTCTCTGCTATAGTTTTTTTAATTTTGGAAATTAAAGGGGGAACTTTGTGCCTGCCACAACCAAAAAAGCATTACTAAATTATGTAGGAGGAGCCCTGTGGCACAGTGCTTAAAGTGCAGTATTGCAGGCTAACGACCCATAATCTGAAGCTACTATAGATCCGGATGGGTCTTGAGTTTGACTTAGCTTTCCCCTCTACCCAAGGTGCGTAAAGTGGGGACCCAGATTATTGGAGGGGCCAATAGGCTGACATTGTAAATCACTCAGAGAGTGCTCTAAAAGCACTATGGAGCGGTGTATAAGTCCAAGTGCTATTGCTAAGTGCTATGTAGCATATCAATAGCTTAGTCATTCAGCACAGGGACAAATATATGGGAGCTAGTATAAGCAAGATTCAGAACACCATTGCTCCTTGGCACTGGAGAGGCTGATTCTCCAGTTAGCAGCTGGAATGACCTGTAATGTGGGTCGGGGGGGAGGGGCACATTTTAGTTTACTGCCAGAAATTTAAGGACCAGACAGGCTATATCAGGAATGTTATTTTAAAATTGTGTCAGCAGGTGGCAGCACCTTCTAATCTTGAGTGATCTCAGAAACTGAATACAGAAGACAGGTAGTCCTTGACAGGGACGGCATTCACTTACCTTTGTTACC